GAAAAAGAAGACCTTGACACTTTGTCAGAATGGATTAAATGTATCAGATGTATGTTAAAATCGCGCATTAAAAGAATGAGAGGCAATATGAAAACCATCTATCCTTCTGTATTCAATAATCCAGAAGTGAAAAAAGAATTAGATAGATTACATGATCAGTGCGTACTGGTCCCTGCTGACAAAGCAGGTAACAACATTGTCTTTGTTTGTAAGGCTCATTATATTAAATGTATTTTAGAGGAACTTGGATTTAATTCTACAAGTGGTAATCCAACTTATACTCATAGTTCCCTTTCTAAGGAAGAAATTCTTCATAATCATATGTCAGTTTTGAATATTTTTAATATTCCAAACAACCAAAATGAACTCGAATTACCATATTTATATTGGATTCCGAAACTTCATAAAAATCCTTACAAACAAAGATACAAAGCGGGTTCCAGTAAATGTTCAACCAAGCCTCTATCTTTACTTCTCACTAAGATATTAACAGTGGTGAAGGAGAAACTTCAAGAGTACTGTGCAACAATATATTCGAGAAGTGGTGTAAATCAGATGTGGATACTTAAAAATTCCAAGGAACTTTTGGAAAATTTGAAATCACAAGATTTTACCAAAATCAACAGCTTAAAAACTTACGACTTTTCAACTTTATACACAACCATTCCCCACGATAAATTAAAGTCCAGGCTTTTTGATATCATTGACTGCTTTTTCAATAAAAATGGAACTCGTAAATATACTTACCTTGTCATTGGTCATTTGCAAAATTATTTTGTTAAAAAACATTCTGATTGTACACACAAGTACTCTGAAGTTGACATTAAAAAGATGCTTGAGTTTCTGATTGACAATATCTATGTGGTTTTTGGAGACCAGGTCTTCCAACAATCTATTGGAATACCTATGGGTACCAATTGCGCCCCGTTATTAGCAGACCTTTTTTTGTATTCATATGAAGCAGAATTTGTCCAAAATCTTGTACGTGAAAAGAAGAAAACACTTGCTGTGGCGTTCAACTCGACATTTAGATATATCGACGACGTATTGTCAATTAACAATGGCTATTTTCATTCTTATGTCGATACGATATATCCTGGTGAACTTGAGATAAAAGATACCATAGAGTCTGACACATCTGTTTCATATTTGGATATTTTACTTGAAAGACGTTAATGGTAATCTAACAACCAAGCTTTATGATAAACGTGATGACTTTAACTTTTCAATCGTCAACTTCCCTTACTTATGCAGCAATATACCTTCATCACCTGCATACGGGGTATATATCTCTCAGTTGATTCGATACTCAAGAGCATGCTCTACGTATGTACAATTTCTAAAACGAGGTAAATTATTGACAAATAAGTTGATGAAACAAGAATATCAGCTGTCTCGTTTAAAGTCATCATTTCGTAAGTTCTATGGTCGATATAATGACCTTGTCAGCAAATACAATTTATCATTGAGTCAAATGCTGACTGACGTTTTTCATACTAATTGTTAGGCCATTATTTACACACTGAATTGTCGACGGATTTTTCCGTTATTTCCCGATCATGACAAGGAGCACACGGCGGGTGTGACCGGTCGGCAGGGGATGCTCACTCCTCCATGGCACCTGATCCCACCTCTGATGTTTGGAGGTCCCTGTTTGCTCTGCTCCTATTTTGTATTGTATAATGGACTTTTGAGCTTGAATACTGTTCGTTATCTCCATATATTTCATCGTTAACCCGATCATGACAAGGAGCACCAGTCAACAGGGAATCTTTACACCTGCATGGCACCTGATCCCATCTGTTTTCAGAAGTCCGTGTTGGATCTTCTCACAATTTTTTTTGTTTAAATGGACTTCTGCATCTTTGATATCTATAAAAGGTGAAGATAACAAACAGTGATCAATCTCATAAAGCCAGGAAACAAAACGATCGTAAACAGGGCAAAAATGACCCCAGCTTGAAACACCAGAGGTGGGATCAGTGCCTAGGAGGAGTAAGCATCCCCTGTCGACCAGTCACACCCGCTATAAGTCCTATGTATTGATCAAGTAGACGGAGTACTCCGTAGCCAAATTTAGTATAAAGGCCCTTTCACAAATGGCGCACGAGCACTTTACAACACTTTGCGATCGGAATTTTTAGCTTCGCACGAGCTCTCGCATACGTTGCACGATGTCTCGCATACGTTGCATGCGTTTTAGTGGTCGCATCAAGTCTCCTCAAAATAGTGGATATGCAAACTATTCAGACGCGACCAAATGCGATCCAAATTATCGGAATGCAACGCACGAACATTAGTACGAACGTCTTACAACGTTTTGTGTACTCGTAAGAGTGATGCACGATTTTTAAAGGTCGTAAGATGAATCGCAGCAGTGTTTTGCGACCATGAGACTGTTGCTCAACGTGTCTCGTGTAATCTTGCAACGTTTTACTATCATTGCACGATTTATCAGCTTCAATTTGCCATGCAAATATTATATATATACACCATATATATTATATTTATACACCAATACCATATCAAACCGTCAAAACACTTTGCTGTCATATTATACAGTCAATAATTACTTACGCACATTCTAAACGATAAAAAATATTAAAAGAAATAAGAAAAATCACAGCACTGTGTCGGATTCTCTAAATTTAGAATTGTGTGGCTGATGGGTGTTGCATAAATGCACTCGAACAAGCATTCGTACCATGCAACGCATGATCGCAGGAGCGGCGCACGTCCAATCGCACTGGCGCACGTTCAATCGTCCGATCACCTGATCACTCGCGCGATCCTATCGCATTATCTTACAACACTCGCTTTCATTGTATATCAGTCGCATATAGACGCAAGATATATCGCAAGATTTAATGCGTTTGCGTCGCACAACGGTAGCTTTAGATCTTGCGAATTTCGTACGAACACTTTTTCATATGCGATTATTTCGGCAACAGTTTACGATCCAAATCATTTTTTTCGGTCGCACGAATATTTTGTCGCGTCTGCTCGTGCGCCAATTGCGAAAGGGCCTTAAAGGTAATAAATGGGATACAAATTGGCAGTGCAAAAAATTAAAGAAAAATTGTTCAGTGTTTTGCTCCAAATATTGTATTTCCACATAAATGTAGATTGAATACAGTAACCTTTGGTAAGCATTTTGTTTATAACCCTACAGTTTCTATATTTATGTGGAACTACAATATTTAGAGCAAAAACAATTTTTTGCACTGTCAATGTATATCCCATTTGGGATATTATATCCCAAACATACTATTATGTCCCATTTGGGCAATTAGTCTCAACCTGTTAAATGTTTCCCACCCTTGGGGATCACAATTTATTATCCTAGTCTCCACACCGTTCGCGGTACCTCAGTCGGTAGAGCGCTCGCTTCGTGATCTGGAGGTCCTGAGTTCGATTCTCGGCCGCAACTGACCTAAGTCGATGAAAAAAATGGGTAGCAACTGTTCCTTCGCCATGCGCTCGGCATTTAAATTTGAAGTGAAAGTTGCGCGTCCTTCGGATGAGACCTTAAAAACCGAGGCCCCGTGTCACCGCAGGCGTTGGCACATAAAGATCCCTCACTGCTCAATGGCCCCGAGTCAAAATTTGAAGCCCTTCACCGGTATATGGTGACGTCTCTATATGAGAGAAAAATTCTCGAATAGGAATAAAACAACATACAATCAATCAATCAATGCTAGTCTCCACAAGATTTGTATATTACAAAATGTGTACTAGGATAGTTACATTACTTCTGGTTTTCAAACCTCTTCAGTAAGTTCAAAAAGGATCTTATCTGCACATACCAAATGAATATAAACTTTCCTGCTAACTCCACCTGAGCTCTGGATTTGAACAAGAAGAAATAAATATAATTATGTAATCAAATAAAACTTTCCTGTAAATTTTGACTTTCCATACCTAGTGGTACTTAATATCATAGTAATGAATGAAAAAGGTGAGGATAACAAAGTGCTCAATCTAAAAAAAATACAAACCTGTGACAGGGCTTAAAACATGGACCCCTGGAAATCAGGTGAATGAATAATATCAAAAAGTTCGTGGACTAGCGGCATAAAATTAAAACCGCTTGAGGTACGTCAATGAATTTTTATACGCTTGATAAGCATCATCTTAGTATCATCTTTTCTATCTATAAAATAAACTATAAATCATAAGTTTTATTTTTTTTTTTAATGAATTATTGTTATTATAAGCAATGGTATGTCCAGGCGGCGCAACCTCGAACATGACGTATTTTCTACGTAAGTGTAACTGAGAAATACTCTTTTGATATGAGCATTTGCCATCCGAAAATTCCGTTAATTCAGGCATGTGATATGACATAATTGTTACGTAAAAGTTGCAACTTTTACTTCATTCTGTAAGTTCTATGAAATATTATTGTAAATTTTATATGGAATGTTCAAACAAATAAGATGTTAAAATTGACGTCAAAAGGGGGGGGGGGTGTCGTTTTCCGACATTCTATAAAGTTTCACCCCCTGGAAATACTGGCATAGACCTAGAAAATGTTAAACGGGCTACAGAGAAATAAATGCATCAATGGTACTTGTTTTTAAATGCCAAAACAGGTTCACCAAGTAAAGAGACGCAAGTTGATGTCGATTTGTAGTCGGGTGTCCAATGTCAGTCACGTCGAAAAGTGACGTTGATCATGTGTGGTAGACATTGAACTCCTACAAGCAAAGTATGCTGGTACAATCAAGCGAGGATCTTTCCTTATGTTTAGATCCATTTACAATATTAATGCATTGAAATCAGCTGTTTATGACATTGTAAAGTCATATAAACAAGACCGGTTTAGGTCTTTACTTAACTCCAGATCATCAAGATAAGTGTACTGGGACAGAGGGAGCGGACTTTTAGAAATAGTGACGTTGTCAACAGACGTCATGAAACTAAACGACGACAGCACCCGGTGATCATATAATCTTTTTTTTATTTAATGATCATTTTGAAAATTATTAACGTAGAAGACACATTCTCCAGTGCAATATAAACAATAAAATCACAGCAGTCAGATGGACAATAAAAACACAACCATCATATGGATGATATAATCACAACCGTTTGAGACAGTCCTCAAGGAATTTCACCTGGTGTGGGAGGAAGCTGTTATAGACAGACAACACACGGTCTCTTTCCTTGAGTTTAGAAAGTATAGGGTGTCGCTCGATGGAGTAAAGCTGAGGATTGTAGAGCTGGTTTGGCCTTAAATTCTCGGAGCCTCTATCCCTCACATACACCACAAACACATCACCTGTAGAGAGACAAATGAATATGCTGACATAAATTAAGTTTATTATTTTATCTAACAATCTACAAAACCTGAAGTATCTTATGAAACTGTAGCTCTACTGGTTTGCATTTATCATAGTGGAAATAAAATTTGCACCTGGACTTCAAACCTTTTTAGCTCACCTGAGCCTAAGGCCCATGTGAGCTTTTCTGATCTAAGAGTGTCCGGCATCAGTCTGTCGACTGTCATCTGATAATATATTTTCGACTTCTTCTCCAGAACCAATGGGCCAATTTCAACCAAACTTGCCACAAAGCATCGTAAGGTGAAGGGAATTCAAGTTTGTTCAGAAGAAGTGCCATGCCCTCTTTCAAGGGGAGATAATTAAAAATTCATGAAAATTTGGTGGCAACTTTTAAAAATCTTCTCAAGAACAACCAGGCCAGAAAAGATGAAACTTATGTGAGAGCTTCATTACATACTGTAGATTCAAGTTTGTTCATATCATGACCATCGGGAATAGGGCGGGACCACAACAGGGGGGTCAAAATTTTACGTAAGAATATATATATATATATATATATATATATATATATATGAAATATCTCTAAAAAATCTTCTCCTGAGGATCAGCAAATCCATGATTAGTCATATTAATATAGAAGCATCCTCAGGAAGTGTACATTCAAATTTGTTCGTATCATGACCCTGGGGGGTTGGCAAGGCCACAACAGGGGATCAAAGTTTTACATAGGAATAAATAGGGAAAATTTTTAAAAATCTTCTTCTCAAGAACGTCAAAGCCATTATTAGTCATATTAATGTAGAAGCATCCTCAGGTAGTGTTCAAATCATGACCCCTGGGGGTCAAAGTTTTACATAAGAATATATAGGGAAAATCTTTAAAATTCTTCTTCTCAAGAACAGCATAGCCATTATTAGTCATATTTATAGGGAATTCTCAGGTAATGTAGATTGAATTTTTTTTAAATCATGAACCTTGCATGTATGTAGGGTGGGGCAGTAATGAGGGATCAAAGTTTAACATAGGAATATGTAGGAGAAGTGTTTAAAAATCTTTTCCCTACGAACAGCAAAGCCATGATTAGTCAAATTTAGATGGAAGCATCTGCAGGTAATGTAGATTCAAGTTCAATTCATGACCCCCAGAAGTAGGGTGGGAGCACAATGGGCAATTAACTTTTTAAATAGGAATACATAGGAAAAAAATCTTCTCAGTCTTCTTCTCAACAACAACATATTCATGATTAGTCATATTCAGGGATGGGGTCAATTACTTTAAAAAGTAATTAATTAAATTACAATTACTTTGACTTTTTCTTCAATTAAATTACAATTAAATTACAGGTTTTCTAAGACATGTAATTAATTAAATTACAATTACTTTGCAAAAGTAATTAATTAAATTACAAATTACATTTTTAATTTTTTTGGAAATTTTTATAATCGTTGTCAATGAATATACAGAACATCATTTATTTGTATATAAGCCCAGCCTCTGCACAAACAGTACAAGAAATAATATGCTACAGGCATTGTGTATCATTGTGGATTAATTCATAACATTTATTTACAAAACATTAAAGAATCTCTTAAAGAACTATCCGAGATCAGTTTGATGCAGTTTCCACCACACAAAATCTACATCTACACAAATTGCATGGCTTATGATATTTGATTAAAAGTGAGTATTTTAAGAGAGTGAAATGAGTCGCAACTGTAACCCTTCAAATTGAATATTTCCTTTGAAGGTAACCTGAACATCCTAAATTGCTGTTTATGTTGAACAATTTTACTTCATAAATCAGAATTGTACAGATAGAAAATTCATTCATAAAAATCTGTTTATATGTTAAAATAATTATCAAAATGAAAGTTTTTCTTTTCTAGAGCTAACGGCACATTTTAAATTGAAATAATTATCTCCATTGGCTTTGTCTTCTAAATCATGGATTGAATATCTCTTTAGAGGAGTTGGATTTGTTTTGATTGCAATTTAAGTAGGGTAAGTTGAAGTTTGTTCAAATCATGACCCCCTGGAGTAGGGGGGGGGGGGCATAAAAAATGATAAAAGTTTTTTATTAGAATATGTAGGAAAAAGAATCTACTGATAAAGATTTACTCAGGTGAGCATTGTGGCCCATGGGCCTCTTGATTTTTAATAGCTTCATCTACAGACTAATGTACCCTTATTTTTTTTTTTTTTTTTTTTTTTTAAATTCAGCAGCATTTTGAAACATTGTCTACAGACAAACAAACATACAGATGAATATTTTACCATCACATAAGCCTTCCTGATTCTCTAATTATCAACTAATCTAAAAGTCAATAGCTTATAGAAATTCTACAGAAACTTACATCCCATGTTGAGGAGTCCTTGAGTGGTCAGTCTCCTGATGTCACCTATTTCTGTCTCTGGGTCCTCCAGGATAATGTTCCTCTCGTTAAAGTCAACAAATATAAACACAACCTTGGAGGGGGTGGTGTGTGGGATGTCATTTGAACGATGGATAAAACTCGACTATAAAAAAGGCCAGAATACAAGAGCATGATAAAAATTATATCTGGATCTCAGTAAATAATCTGAAACAAGTATATGGTGTACTGTACTGTGTTAATGTTTCTTTAATTTTATTTAGTAAAATAATTTGCAAAATTGTACAATGAATTACATCTTTCATATTTTCAGTAAGCGCATCTTTTCATCTGCTTCAATAATGTGAAAGCTATAACAACAATATTTCAATGGAATTAAAAATCTTACTAGGAGATCCAAAGATCTGGGCTTAGAAACTTTACTCATTAGATCTTGATGAAATTGCTGTGTAGAAGTGTTAAAACTAATAATCCCTATGCTTCTGTCTAGTGACCTCTTGGTGATTCTTTCAATATTCACTGGGGGAGACTGAAGGAAAAATGCATTTATATGTACCAGAAAACTGCATACCATAAACAGCATAGCATGGAACTACCAGTTATGTGATTGTCCCTTCAACAGGACAGAGACCAACTGATTTTTGCCGTAATGTCTGCCCATTTGTCTGTTACAAAACCATAGGTAGATATATCTTTTGAACCTTTGCAGGAATTCATACTTAGTACTTAATACAGTCAAACGTTGTTATCTCAAACTTGATGGGACCGGAAAAAATCTTTATCAGAGGGTTTGAGATAATGAGATTGAAATACATTAAGAAATGGTTGCACTGGGTCTTCCAAATCATTTTGACATATCCAAAGTATTTGAGATATCAATGTTCAACTGTATGTTGTTATCCATGACTATACGTGTATTTTAAAGTTCTGGAGTCAAGTTCATATCTCAAAGGTATTGCTAATAAGTGTATAATAATGCAATTAATTCTATTTATTAATTAATTTATATTCAGACGAGTGAAGTGAGGGAGAATATAATGACTACAAAACTCACCTGTCCTCCCACCCTGGACCTTGGTAATGGATCATGAATTTGTGTAACCTGCCTAATCCCATCCTCACCAGAGGGCGATTTTGGGAGCAGGATTTTGTAGGCAACATAAATGACAACCACCACCAAAACCAACAGAAAGCCCACGATGTAAATATCTAAAACAAAATGTTATGTTGTACTATCTATATGGTAAAATACATACAAATCTATGTAACACTGCTGAAAGCTGCAATTTCAATTACATATGATGTATAAAAGTACAATTCATATTTTTCTCTTTTAATTATCATTTAAAAAGAGGGATATCAAATGGCAATTAATTATGTAAATAAAAATGAAAATGAACCATGATAATCTGCATTTTTTTGCACCAATGTCAGTGAATTTTATTGAATTTAAACTACAATATTTTGTTTACTAACATTTTTGAAATGAGATTATGTACAATACAAGCAATCCAGAAGTTCTATATAGTTGTTTTCATTCATTGGCTGTTATACATGTACCAAGTCATATCCTGCATTACAGATTTGAAAAAGAAATTCAGTTTACATTAAAACTCGTTTAGTACCAACACGGATATAGCAAAGTTTTTTTGAATCCCCAGCTGAATTCTTAACAAATCCTAGGATAATATTACGGTTATTATGAACTCTGATAAAACGAATTTACTGATATAGCGAACTGATTTTCTGTCCCGTAGAGGTTAAAAATGATGAAAATTACATCTTTTATAACAAATTTTCAATATCTTAAAATTCAAAATATTAAACAGACATTATTTTCTTTATAAGTATTTTGATTTGAAATTCCATTCATCAGAAATATTTAGTACCCCAAGTAAAATTTTGTATTTAATACCTCCCCAAACATACTTGGTAGTCATACTTGAAGGAAAAGACGCATATTGCGAATTTGTTATATATACTTTAACGAATTCATTATATGGATATAACGAATTACAGATATAACCAAGTAAATTCACAGGTCCCCAGGACTTTGTTATAACCAAGTTTTACTGTTTAAAAAAAAAATTATTTCTTGCCTTTTTTCTGCTCATAGAAAACAAAGAATTATTTTGGTCAAAAATTATCTGATTTTGAGCATGACCTTAAATTTCCAGCAACATAAGCTAATAACAAAACAAGAGCCCATGGGCCACATCGCTTACCTGAGCACTGTGGTTAGGAAAAAAACAAGAGGCCCAGGGCCACATCGCTCACCTGAGCACTGTGGCTAGGAAAAAAGGAAAAATCAGTTTAGTATTGAAAAGCTTAAATGCATAAGTGGTCCCAACCTACCCTTAAAAGGGAGTGGGGGGGGGGGGGGGTATGATTTTAACAAAATTAAATCTACACTAAGGATGCTTACATAATTATTGGCTGTAACTTTTTTCTCTACAAGTTTGAACTTTCATTGTGGCTCCACCCTACCCCTGGAGGTCATGATTTGAACAAACTTGAATCTACACTATCTGAGGATGCTTCAATATAACAAAAGGCCCAGGGGCCACATCACTCACCTGAGCACTGTGGCTAGGAAAAAAGGAAAAATCAGTTTAGTATTGAAAAGCTTAAATGCATAAGTGGTCCCAACCTACCCTTAAAAGGGAGTGGGGGGGGGGGGGGGGGTATGATTTTAACAAAATTAAATCTACACTAACTAAGGATGCTTACATAATTTTTTGACTGTAACTTTTTTCTCTACAAGTTTGAACTTTCATTGTGGCTCCACCCTACCCCTGGAGGTCATGATTTGAACAAACTTGAATCTACACTTATCTGAGGATGCTTCAATATAAATTTGACCAATCATATCTTTGCTGTTCTTGAGAAGAAAATTTTTGAAGATTTTTCCTATATATTCCTATGTAAAACTTTGATCGTTCATTGTGGCCCCATGCACCCTACCCCTCAGGGTCATGATTTGAATAAACTTGATTCTAAACCACCTGAGGATGCTTCCACATAAATATGACCAATCATAGCTTTGCTGTTCTTGAGAAGAAGATTTTTGAAGATTTTTCCTATGAACACCTATGTTAAACTTTGATCATCCATTTTGGCCCCACCCTACCCCTTGGGGTCATGATTTGAACAAACTTGAATCTACACCACCTGAGGATGCTTCAGTATAAATTTGACCAATCATAGCTTTACTGTTCTTGAGAAGAAAATTTTTGAAGATTTTTCCTATATATTCCTATGTAAAACTTTGATTGTCCATTGCAGCCCCACCCTACCCCCGGGGGTCATGATTTGAACAAACTTGAATCTACACCATCTGAGGATGCTTCCAAATAAATATTACCAATCATAGCTTTGCTGTTCTTGAGAAGAAGATTTTTGCTATATACTCTATGAAAACTTTGATCGTCCATTATGGCCCCAACCTACCCCCGGGGGTCATGATTTGAACAAACTTGAACCCACACCACCTGAGGATGCTTCCAAATAAATAGTACCAATCATAGTTTGCTGTTCTTGAAAAGAAGATTTTTGAAGATTTTTCCTATATATTCCTATGTAAAACTTTGATCGTCCATTTTGGCCCCACCCTACCCCTGGGGGTCATGATTTGAACAAACTTGAATCTACACCACCTGAGGATGCTTCCATATAAATATGACCAATCATAGCTTTGCTGTTCTTGAGAAGAAGATTTTTCCTATATATTCCTATGTAAAACTTCGATCGTCCATTGTGGCCCCAACCTACCTCCAGGAGTCATGATTTGAACAAACTTGAATCTACACTACCTGACAGTAATTCCACATGAGTTTGATCTTTCCTGGTCCATTGGTTCTTGAGAAGAAGATTTTTCAATAATGCCATTAATTTTTTGCTATTTCATAATTATCTCCCCTTGGAGGAGGGCATGGCCCTTCATTTGAACAAACTTGAATCCCCTTCACATAAGGATACTTTGTGCCAAGTTTGACTGAAATTGGCCTAGTAGTTCTGGAGAAGAAGATGAAAATGTGAAAAGTTTACAACAACAACGCCGATGCCAACGACAGACAACGGACAAATTTTAATCAGAATAGCTCACTTGAGCCTTCGGCTCAGGTGAGCTAAAAAGTGGTCCCGACCTACCTCTAAAAGGGGGGGGGATACGATTTGAACAAAATTGAATCTACACTAACTAAAGATGCTTACATATTTCTTTGTCTGCAGACCTGCCTACCCTTCCGCTTTTGGTGTAATTCTTCCGCTTTTTACCACAAAATACGCTGTTACGCCATGAAATTTAGCTTTACGCTTTTAAATATTTTTTCTAGAAAACTTTTTAATGAAAGGCTAAATTGGGAGTTAAAGTAAAGGCGTAACTAAATGAAAACAAGAAGATAAATAATACTAATTAACAGAGGATTTCGATTCTTCACGATATGATTATTTAAGATACAAAATACAAAGGTAATATACCTATAGTAGTGATAATATGCATTTTAAACGGGTGCATGCCAAAGATTGGAACATTATTTGATGATATGTGCAATAAGTGAATTCAGTTCAATTTTTCAATTCAGTTAATTCTTACATTGCTTAGAACAACATAGAGACAAGTAAGTGTATAAAAAACAAAAACAACAGAGTGCAATTATGTAGAATTTGTTTGAACATGGAAACGTAACCCTGAATTATGTGATTTGCTAGATATTAACCAAATCTTCATTAAGCATGTAATTTTAAATAAGTTTGATATGTCTGCATTTAGGATACCAATTTTACAGCACATGGACTTTTTGTCAATAAATGATTTCAAAAAGAAACATTCATGCTTGCTTTGTTCAATGATGTTACAATTACCAGTTTATTTAGACAATATAGTATCATTACAAAACATCAAACTAGGGAAACATAAAGGATTACGCCTTTGCCTCTAAAATTCCACCATAATGAGTATTGAAATTACACCCTTGCAATAAAAAGGGTAGGCAGGTCTGTGACTTTTTCCCCTACAAGTTTGAACTTTCATTATGGTCCCACCCTACCCCCGGGGATCATGATTTTAACAAATCTGAATCTACACTATCTAAGGATGCTTCCATATAAATATGACCAACCATAGCTTTGCTGTTCTTGAGAAGAAGATTTTTTTTAAAAAATGTCCTATGTATTCCTATGCATAACTTTAATCATTAATCATGGCACCATCCTAACCCCAGGGGGTCATGATTTGAATATACACTACCTGAGGATGTTTCCACATGAGTTTCAACTTTCCTGGCCCAGTGGTTCTTGAGAAGAAGATTTTTAAAAGAGGCCATTAATTTTTCACTAATTTGTAATTATCTCCCCTTGGAAAAGGGTGTGACCCTACATTTCAACAAACTTGAATCCCCTTTACCCAAGGATACTCTGTGCCAAGTTTGGTTGAAATTGGCCCAGTAGTTCTGGAGAAGAAGATGAAATTGTGAAAAGTTTACAACGACGACGACAGACAACGGACAAATTTCGAACAGAAACGCTCACTTGAGCTTTCGGCTCAGGTGAGCTAATGAGAATGATAGTGTTACTGGTGACATTGTGCTTATAATATGTCAGTCATTTCATGAGTGAAGCAAAAATATCTATCTACAAAGACCTACTGCAATACTTACTGATATCTTTAAGTTCTCTGAAGAAATAGTTTAGTTGACCTTCCACTCCCTTATACTTGGATTCTACTTCAGTGAAGTTTTTGGATGCTGATTCTTTTATATTATTCACAGTTTCCTCTACTTCATTAAACTTGGCTGTCCTCTCTCTCCTTTCATCCTTAATAAGTTGGCCCATATTTCTTTCTGACACAGTAATTCGTTCTTTGAAAATGTTTAAAACAGTCATATTATTATACCTGTTAGAAGATAGAAATTATATTTGATGTTCAAATGATATGAATATTTATTGGCACTGTGCAATTCTGTGGGTGTGTGTGGGTGTGGGTGTGTGTGAAAAACTAGCTCTTAAATTCTTATTATGCAACACATGATTCAACACAGTCAGTCTGAGGGTAACATATTTATGAAAAACTGAAAATCTCTTTAACCTGACCAATCTCATCTTTTTGGATATTGGACAATGTAGTTACTAGTCTTGTTTCAGATGCATGGAAGATGCTTCTAGTATGCTTCATTGTACAGTCAAGGTTTCAGATGATGGAATTTCAGCTAAAGAATGACCAGGTTAATGTTTTTGGAGCACGTTAAAGTTTCTGGAGCAGTTTTAAGTTTTTGGAGCAGGTCTCATGTCCAAGTAACTATATAAAGCCCAATACTGACCAGACTTGCATTGATAATACATCTAAGGATGCACACTACCAGGCTTGCTTTGGATGCTGGATCTGACCTACATTTTCCAGAACAGTGACCAGCTAGGTTAAAGTTTTTGGAGCAGGTCTCATTCTAAAGTAACTATGAGCCCTATGTTCACCAAACTTGCAGTGATGATGCATCTACAGATGCCAGTACCAGGCTTGCTTCAGATGCTGAACGTGACCTACATTTTCCAGATGAGTGACCACGTTAAAGTTTTTGGAGCAGGTTCATTCTACTGTAACTATAAGGCCTATGTTGACCACACTTGCACGGATGATACATCTAAGGATTCACACTAATGGACTTGCTTCAGATGCTGGATCTGACCTACACTTTTCAGATGAGTGACCTGGTTAAAGTTTTTGGACCAGGTCCATTACCAAGAAACTACATGTAATGCCTATCTGAACTATTTGGCCTATCTGAACCAAACTTGCATGGATGATGCATCAAGGGATGAACACTCTCAAACTTGCTTCAGATGCTGGATTTGAATTACATTTTCTGGATGATTGACTAGTTTAAGGATATTCAGATAAGTCCACTCCGAAGTAACTGCAAGCCCTATGAGATCAAAATTGCATAAAATAATGTTATATCTAGAGATGCACGCTACTAAATTATTAGTTTAGTATGGGACTTTGCCTTACTTATTAAAGACAATATTTGTTGAGGTGAGCCCTGTAATCTCTGATTACCTGTGTTTATTATGTTTTTAAACCTCTTAGATACTTGGTCCCACTGAATCAAGACAAGGTTTGATTGTACATGTATAATGTGTAAAAAGTTTCCATGTTCCCGTTTTTTTAAATCACTGTAAAGCTATTCCCTTCTTTAGATAGCACTCACCTGACATTTAAATAAAGTTTAATAATGATACTAGAAAAAACATTACCTTGAATGTCCTGTAATTTGTTTTCAAGACTGGTACTCTTTTCTTGGACTTCACTTTTAATTTTCTCACCCATATTATTTTCAATACTGTCAAGTCTGTCTTTTACCCTATTGTCAATTAATTCTTCCAGGGAAGATGTTATATTTGAATGAAGATTTTCTGGCATAACTTTTATTTCTGTATCTATTTCCTGCAAAGTTTCCTTAATGTCATGTAGACCAGTGAACTCTGAAACCTTTGTCTCTATTCCTGCAAGTTTGTTTTCCATATCTTCCAGTTCTTTTGTTTTCTGTTTGAACTCCTTTGACAAGGCTTCCTGATTTTTTATGATATTTCTAAACTCTCCTGATGAAAATCCGTCGGTGGCAATACACATACAGTCTGAACATCGTAAAGATTCTTCTGTGTTGGATGAACTTCTGCTACAGGCTTTTAAATTGGTGATACTTCCTTGAAGCGATCTATGAACAACCCATGTCATAAACCTGTACAATCAATGTATGTACTCATTAGCAACCATTTTTGAACAAGCAAGCATTTCATATACAGTTGAACTTGGGTATCTCGAACATTGATATCTCGAGTACCATGAACATGTAAGTGAGTTGGAAGTCCCAACTTCTCTTTTTTATGCATTTTAACCTTGATATCTCAAATCCTCGGATATCTTGAAGTTTTTTCTCTGAGTCCTATCAAGTTCGACATAACAACATTTGACTGTAGTTGCAACTATTAATCCCCGTATTAACAATTTGTTTTCTTAAGAAATAAAGGAGAAATATTCATTGGCTGTAAAGTAAATATAGAAATATAAATTATAATCAAATTTAAATGTACCATGGTTTCACTTTATAAAGAATAATTATTTCAATATTATTGTGTGAGAAATTTATTTATTTGAAAATTTATTTTTAATATTTAAGCTAAATTTTTGGACATCCAAACCTAAAAAACACAAAATCAGCAGTCCAGATATTGTATTTGATTAAGTCACAGTGTTTTGCACATTCGGTAATCTTCACTTTGATTTTACATATGAACATATCTTTTCAAGACCCGAATACAATAGTGAATTTAAATACTCGTAAGGTATGTTATTTATATGACTATTCAGAGTGTGATTTATACAGGCAATATCAACCTCTTTAAGTTTCTTTTTTTTTAAATAGGTAAAGATATGATAGATGGACAATTAACTAAGAAAAAACTTGGAATGTCCTTATATTAAATTACACTGAAGTCAGGATGCACCAAACACTTTGTTTTAATAAAGTTAAGGACATACGCAACGTACCTTACCTACTGATAATTTTTCAAGATATTCTTAATTTAAGATTAATGCCTTCAGAAGTTCGTAGACAGAAAATCAGCATGCATTACCAGGGGTTTTGAAAAGATATCAATTGATGAAAATTCTTGTATAATTCAAAGAAAAATATACAAAAATTACTGAACATATATTCTAGATGTTTTATGTATCCAAACTTGTTTTAGAAGAAGTGTACAACAGCATATATAGACATTAAAATGTAGCACACAGATCCTTTAAGTATTGGAACTCTTCAACTCCATTGAAAAAGACAATAAAGTTCAAACTACGCTGCGTATGTCCTAAAAAAAAGTCCTAATCTGTTGACAAAATAAGCCTTTAGGTTAAATTTCAATAAACATGTAAGCATTGAATTAAGCAATTGACTGCCACCCTATAAAATAACATATGCACATGCATTTCATTAGAATTAAGGGACAATTTACTGGATGTGAGACTGGTCCTTCAGATAAGACCATATAAGCCAAGGTCCTATAACACAGTAGATTCTGGCACAAAGGATCCTTCACTGTTTAATAGCCATAAGTTCCAAGTTCTAAATTTGCAGCTTGTCACTTGAAATTATCGGCATCACACCTGAGTGAAAAATCTCAAAGGGAGATGAAGCCACCAAACGAACTAATATATATATATAATTTTTACTGTGTAATTCAATAAATCTGATTGGTTTGCTTGCTATCACGTGCAAAATTATATTTTACGATACTGACTTGAGTTACTAAAAATATAACTTAGGGAAAATCCAAAGATGTGTTTATAATGGTGAAAATTAAGTCTTTAAAACTTACGAATTCCTACATAATGAATTTGTTTGTTCTCTTTCTTTTCCAAAGAAAATAATATAACAAATGTAGCCCTTTGATTCAGTCAATCCATAGGTATATCAACTTCACAGAAAAGAATATGCTTTTCTGTGAAGTTGATATAACTATGGATCGACCTCTTAAAAGGGATATATATATATATATACATGTATATATATTAGAGAGAGAGAGTCAAACCTCTTTATCTCGAACCCGATGGGACCAAGAAAATACTTTGAGATATCCAAGGGTTCGAGATATTCAGGGTAAAATACTTCAGAAATAAGCGATTGGGACCTCAAAATCATTTCGACATATCCATGGTATTCGAGATATCAGTGTTTGAGATACCGAATTTCGACTGTATATCTACTTTTGAAGTATACTTAATAAGCTTATAATATTCCCAAAATAATAATTTGTGCAAAAATTTTTAATGTACACTTACGATTGTAATATTCCAAAAATTATGATTTGTACAAGAAATTTTTTGTCTGTCCAAAACTCTATGGATGTTATATCCTGTGCGTCAGATTTCTTTTCCTCCCTCTGCACAGCAGAGCCCTGTGACTTGCTTGATATGGGACTCCTTCCAACACGAATACCTCGGTATGATAAAGAGGGTTCATGAGTATCAGTGCCTTCCCAACTTGTGCATGGAGAGTCTTCATCTGACATTTCTCCCTGATATTGCAAGAGCTTATCATCTCTTCCTTGAGGATTTTGCCTTGGTTTGGCAATTTTCGTTTTTGATGCCATTCTGTGATAATTAACTTTGAATTTTATCCTGTTATTGCTGAAGACCTTTGTGGTTCCAACAAATATTCTGCAAAAGGAAATATTCCTGATAAAATCCTTTTTTTTTTTTTTTTAAAAAGTTAATAAGTAATTGTGACATGATCCCATGAGTTTTCCTTTGAAGTCAACCGTACAATAGCTTTTTACTTTGTAAATGAGCAGAAATTGTACAATAACTACAAAATATCTACAATACAGAACGGTTTATTTTTAGTGATGATGGAAAGCTGTATGTATCTTAAATGAGAGAGACATAAGATCATTCAAATTGCAAAATAGCACTTAGTCTATAAATATTAACTCAAAATCTGAGGTGAATCTAGGATAGAATTTTACAATGTTTAGTTCCTCCCAAAACATTTTTGCTTCAAATATATTCCAGTGTAATTCTTATGTACTTAAATGTTTTGCACTAAATTCGTAGATTAATTAAGAAATGAATTTGATTTTTGAAGATTCATGAGGACATGAACTACGACGTTAGCGCTTCATGATAAATATGCCGGCGTGAAGCATTGTAGTTCATGTACCTCATGAATTTTCAAAAATTAAATTCATTTCTTATATTTACATTATTTTTCTGATGAGTTTCCACAAATTACGCCATTCAACTGTCATTTTTAAAGCAAAACAGTTTGCACTATAGTTTTGACGTCAAGTAGGGTATTATGACGTAACAATGGAGATATTCATGCTCATCCATGGTAGTTCATGAGAAAATGAACAGTATTCTAATTTGCAAAGAATCTTAAGGAAAAATATTTGGAAATGTAAATATTTATAAATATAATGCAAGTATTAGTGATAAAAAGAGAGAAAAATAGAGAGTAAAAACACCTACTAAATCTAAATTAAAATTAAAGACAATAGGCCCATGGACTAAATTGCTCACCTGAGCACTTGGCTAGGAAAAAGAAATCAGTTCAGTATTGAAAAGTTTAAATATATATAAGTGATTGCAAATACCCCCCTTCCCCCTGCCCCGGGGAAAGGGGAGGGGCATGATTTGTTCACATTTGAATCTACACTAACTGAGGATGCTTCCATTTTTCTTTGACTAACCATGGCATTTATTTAGATTTTTTTTCTTCCGGTATATATTTAATCTTCTATTATGACACCCCCCCCACCCCCCGGAATATGATTTGAACAAACTTGAATCTACACATCATGAGGATGCTTTCATATAGATATGAGTAATCATGACTTTGCTGCTCTTGAGAAGAAGATTTTTAAAGATTTTGCCTATGTATACCTATGTAAAACTTTGATTGCCTGTTGGGGTGGCCCCTCCCTACCCCTGGTTGTCATGATTTGAACAAATTTGAATCTACACTACCTGAGGATGCTTCCAAATAAATATGACTAATCATGGCTTTGCTGCTCTTGAGAAGTAGATTTTAAAAGATTTTTCCTTTGTATACCTATGTAAAACTTTGATTGCCCATTGTGGCCCCTCCCTACCCCTGGGGGTCATGATTTGAACAAATCTAAATCTACACTTTTTGTAACCTGGGGATGCTTCCATATTAATATGACTAATCATGGCTTTGCTGCTCTTGAGAAGTAGATTTTAAAAGATTTTTCCTTTGTATACCTATGTAAAACTTTGATTGCCTATTGGGGTGGCCCCTCCCTACCCGTGGTTGTCATGATTTGAACAAATTTAAATCTACACTACCTGAGGATGCTTCCATATAAATATGACTAATCATGGCTTTGCTGCTCTTGAGAAGTAGATTTTAAAAGATTTTTCCTTTGTATACCTATGTAAAACTTTGATTGTCCATTGTGGCCCCTCCCTACCCATGGTTGTCATGATTTGAACAAATTTAAATCTACACTACCTGAGGATGCTTCCATATAAATATGACTAATCATGGCTTTGTTGTTCTTGAGAAGAAGATTTTAAAGATTTTTTCCTATGTTTACCTATGTAAAACTTTGATTGCCTATTGTGGCCCTTTTCACATAAGTTTCATCTTTTCTGGCATAGTGGTTCTTGAGAAGAAGATTTTTAAATGACCCAACACAATTTTTAATTTTTTCTTAATTATCTCCCCTTGGAAGAAGGTGTGGCCCTTGGTTTGAAAAAAAAACTTGAATCCCCTTTACTTAAGGATACTCTGTGCCAAGTTGGGTTGAAATTGGCCCAGCTAGTGGTTCTGCAGCAGAAGATGAAATTGTAAAAAGTTTAAGACACCAATGCCCAGGACAACAAACAATGGACAAATTTTGATCAGAAATGCTCACTTGAGTCTTTGGCTCAGGTGAGCTAGAAACACATTATATAATGCATATCGCAATTACACTTATTTACGGTGATAAAGTCAGTCCATTACCTGCATGTCCACCTCACTCGGCATTTCATTTGCGATTGACTGCTAAAAATGGGGTATTAATTCAACTTGCTGCAGAATCATCTGATTGGTTGATATATACCCAAATGCATATGTCATTTAGTGAGGTCATAAGAATGGTCATATCATAAGTCATGTAGAATTCTCGTTTCCTACTGTATCAGAGATACAGGGCGGGGCTTGGCTCAAGCTATTGCTCTTGTCTTCAACCCCACCCTGTCTCCCATACAGTAGGAAACTCGTAGGCTAATTATAACTTAAAAGTCCATTTCATAAGCTATAATGTTTATTTCAATACATGTAACTTTACTACAAAATGACAGATTTTATTAATTTGAAAAAATAGTGGCCCTAAAATTCTCATAATTAATATTTCTCTGTTATACTGATACATCAAATGTTATGACACTTATTATTGAAGCTTTTCATTCAAATTGAATTATGTGTAAAGTACAACCTACATAATTACATTTACCATGAATTTTTCAAAGGCGTTGATCCAATGATTTCTTTATATGAGGGCGATATTGTTTTTAAAACCTAATTATCATGGGAAATGATTGGAGAAGAGCCGGTATTTTCAAATCAACTGAACTATGACAAAAGATCAATACTACAGTAGCACCTTAGGTGACCTTCATTTCTGTCTAAGGGCCGGCACACATGGTAAGGCTTGCCATAAAACATATTAAGTTAATTTTTGCAAGCCATACAGATTTGGAGCAGATCAAACATGGACCTCTAAAAATGTCAGAGGTGGGATCAGGTGCCATGGAGGAGTATTAGCATCCTGTCAACCTGTCACACCCACTGTGTGACCCTGTTCATGACTGGCCAATCAAAAAAAATAATGGCCTAACAATTTGTATGAAAAACATCAGTCAACAATCAAGTTAATGATAGACTGTATTTGCGGACAAGGTCATTACATCGACCATAAGAATTTGCAAAATGTTGACTTAAACAAGACTGTTGATATTCTTGTTTTGTCAACTAATTTGTCATAGTTTGCCTCATTTTAGAAACTGTTTGTAAGTAGAGCATGCTCTTGAGTATCGAATCAACTGGGAGACAAAAACTTCAAATGCAGGAGATAATGGTACAAGGGGTGATCAAAAAGTTCGCGATTTATCTCTATATTTACAAAACCTCAATTCAGATCAGAATGAAATTTGGCACACAAATATAACATGTTCTATAAATAGCAGATGTAATGTTTTGATCCATGTTTATGACATCACAATGTTAAAATGTTGTCAATATGTAGGTCTTGTGACAAAAAATGGGTGACTCTATCTTACTCGAGCAAGGAATGGCTGTAAAGTTTAAAGTATATCTTGGAAATTCCTTTGCAGTGGCATATAATAATTTATACATGGAGGAAGGGAGATGGTTAAAAATGATGTTTGTTCTGGTGCCCATTGAAAGTATGCTAAGAAAGAGATGTGTCTTTACTTGAGCAATTTGTTATAAAAAATCATCAAGTTACAGTTAGAAAAATAGTCGAATATCTTAAAAATAAAATAATTTTTTAATCCTGAAAATATCATCAATTTTTTACTTCAAACATTTTAGTTATAAATTGATAAAGAGAACGCACCCATACTTGATTCACATTAAAACAACGATGCATCCAGTACAGAAGAGACAGGTTGTGATGGTTACCATACTCATTCTGGTACAAGATATCCTTTAATCCACCCATCCTATTGCCATGATTTGGCCATTTTTGACAAAAGGGCTATTCTTGTTATAAAAAATAACCTGCATGGTAATAAATATAAGATTGGAAAAATCTTTTAGCTGCTGTGAACAGAATGCTACGGAGCATGTCACGTGACCGCGTGGAGCATGTGTTTCGCGCATGGGCAGAACGGTGGCAGATGTGCATTAAAACTAGAGGGGACTTCTTAAAAAAAATAATGCTCATTGAAACATAATCTTACTTCTTTTATGGAAGTAATTCAGTTAGTTCGTGAACTTTTTGATCACCCCTCTTAATATATTGCTGCTACATAATTAAATAATGGAAGTTCATGACAGAAAAGTTAAAGTCATCATGTTTATAATAATAATGCTTTATTGTTAGATTACCATTATTATCTTTTTCTAGTAAAATATCCAAATTTGAATCAGATGTGTCAGCATATGAAGTTTAATAAAAATATCTTGAACAGTTTCTTTGAAACTGAGCTAAACACATTTTTTAAGGTTGGGTCAGGGTCAAAGGAAAGGTCAAGGTAAAAAAATATTGATGCAGTTGAATAGTTCTTATCAGAATATGTATCAGCATATGAATTGTTATAAATATATCTTGAATAGTTTCTTTTAATTTAAGCTAAACACAAATTTAAGGCTATGAACAAGATGTGTTTGTGAAACACTGATGCCCCCGTGTGGCAACTTATAGCAAAGGTTAAATTTTCTTAAATGCAAATCAAATACAATGTATGTTGGTACCCAAAGTAAGGTCTTGTCTCGAGGAATATACCTGTGAAATATGAGAGCCCTAGCAGCAACCATTGAATATATGGCCAAGGTTAAAGTTTTTCAAAAGTAAGTCAAACATAAAGGTCAAGGTCAAATTGTCAAAATGAATGGTGCCTAAGGAAAGGCCTTCTCACAAGAAATATACTGGTGAAATATGAAAGCTGAAGCACCAATCATTCAAAAGTTATGACCAAGGTTTAAGTTTTTCAAAAGTAGGTCAAACTTCAAGGTCAAGGTCAATGGATTACAATTGTTGGTATCCAAAGGAAAGTCTTGTCACAAGGATTACATATGTGAAGTATGAAAGCCCTAGCTCCAATGGTTCAAAAGTTATGGCCAAGGTTAAAGTTTGCCAAACGTAGGTCAAACTCCAAGGTTAAGGTCAAAGGGTCAAAGTTGTTGGTATCCAAAGGAAGGTCTTGTCACAAGGATTACACATGTAAAGTATGAAAGCCTTAGCACCAACGGTTCAATAGTTATGGCCAAGGTTAAAGTTTTTCAAAAGTAGGTCAAACTCCAAGGTCAAGGTCAAAGGGTCAAGTTGTTCATATCCAAAGGAAGGTCTTGTCACAAGGATTATATATGTGAAGTATGAAAGCCTTAGCACCAACCGTTCAAAAGTTATGGCCAATGTTAAAGTTTTTCAAAAGTAGGTCAAACTCCAAGGTCAAAGGTACAAAGTTGTTGGTATTCAAAGGAAGGTCTTGTCACAAGGATTACACATGTGAAGTATGAAAGCTCTAGCACCAATTGATCAAAAGTTATGGCCAAGGTTAAAGTTGGGTAAAATTTTGCAAAACTGGGTCAAACTCCTAGGTCAAGGTCAAAAGGTCAAATATGGTGGTACCCAAAGAAAGGTCTTGTCACAAGGAATACACATGTGAAATATGAAAGACATAGCTCTAACCAATCAAAAGTTATGGGCAATGTTAAAGTTTTTGCGGACAAACAGACAGACGGACGGACAGGGCAAAAACTATATACCCCCGAATCTTCGATATGGGGGCATAAAAAGTAAAGTCAAGGTCAAAGGAATGGTCAAGGTAAAAAATATGGTGACGAAGTTGAATAGCTTTCATCAGTATGTATATCAGCATTTAAGGTTTAATATAAATATTTTGAAAAGTTTCTTTGAAATTGCATGAGCTAAACACTTACTTAAAACAGTGAGATCAAGGTTAAAGAAAAGGTCAAGATCAAAAAATGTTGATGCAGTTGTATAGCTCTCATCAATATGTATCAGTATTTGAAGTTTGATAAAAATATCTTGAATAGTTTCTTTGAAACTGAGCTAAAGTTTGATGGAAGGACAGACATAGCCTATTAGGGACATATGGACAGAAGACGGATATGACAAACACTATATGCCCCGGCCAAATTCATGGCGGGCATAAAAAAAATGAAAATATTAAGTGCAAAAGTTCAGATGATATTTATTTTATGATTGAACAATTCCCAGCATCTAATTGTTAAAATGTAACATTCTAGAAAACAAATGTTTACTTGCATATGACCTTCCAGGTAAATTTAGTTAGTTATTTTTTCTACATTGGTCTAAAAATGGATTGAGAATTTCCAGATTGATACAATTACATCTGCACCTGACTTTCCAAGTGAATATAATATTTTCTCCTATATTAGACCAAAAATTAAGATTTGGAACTTCTAAATTGATTCAACTGGTTATGAAAATTTATTTCATCTGCTATACTATTAATTCTGCAAAGTTTGAAGAAAAAATATTGATGAGTAGTTTTACAGATCATCTTTGGACAAAAAATGTCTTTAGACAGATGGACAACTTGACAGCTCGATAGACAGACAAGATGATTCCAATAAAACAAGAATTTTCTTGTTCACAGAACAGCATGTTTTTTTTTTCAACTTTAAGGTTTATAATTAAAATAATCTACATGTAGATGTGTAATAGGACAGGCCCTGAGGCCTTATGACTTCTTCTTACAGGCACTAAAACTAAATATTTAAAAACCATACATGTGTAACACAAACTTTCACTGACATCAAGTCAGGTTGTTGTCTATTTTATTAAAATAGCCGAATTCTAGGAAGTTCGAATGCTAACTTACACTTCAGAAACATATAATTTATGAAATAATTTAAATATCATTTTGCCTTTGAATTAACTCCTGGATAATAGGGCTAGATTTTTTTAAAATTTCTGCTATTACATGGAGCATTTTAATTTGTTTAGAATATCTAATTCTTTGAAATCTGATAAGTCAAACAGTTTTTTGTCAACTTCATAATGGTCTGCAGGGGTGTAACTTTCTGAGGCTTCAAATTTATGAGCATTAACAAATTTTGGCCACTGTTAAAATGGTTCTACAAACAAAAAAATTGCCTTTAATAGAAGACCCTAAAATTCTTTGTTTCGAAAGGACACATAACCAAGATTTTTTAGTCCCTGTCAGGATTTCACCTGCAAGTCCTAGTGTGCAGACCTGGATTTGAACACAGGTACCCTGTATTCTACTCGGTGATATTATGCACAGTATGAATTCTTTATTTATAATGCTATCTTGCTGGAGAGTTGGCCCAGCAGGTGCTCTTGAACCATCAAACAATCGGATCTAGGTACATGCTGCTGTCCGCAATACATGCAAATTATAAAGTTCTTCTACTTCTACCGGTAAGCAGCCACCGTTAAAATGGTGACTATTATGCCACTAAGTGTGTGCATGTTAAAAAAAAAGATTGTTGTGATCAAGTGATAGTCTATTTACAGATGAGTTTAAAAACAATTAGGCTGGGGACTTATTGATGGAGACGAGCCTTGAAGCAGTCAAGGTTCGGAGCTATCACAGTAGAGGTGGGTAGGGCGTTCCACTCCTTGATGGTATGTGGGTAGAATGATTCCTTCCTCACTGAAGTTACCGGTATTTGGAATGCCAGTATATTGTTGGTTTCTAGATGACTGAACATACAATGTAATTTACTTATTTTAAGTGGTAGTTAAATATTTTCCCAATATTTCAATACCTATCATATGTTTGGTTAATTTTCATAGGGAAGGAACCCATTCTCACAACATCAGGGGTCCTGAGTTAACACGTTGGCGTGTTGAATCAGGACCCCTGACCAAGCTGACGCTGTGAGGAAGAGGGTTGTATGTTCGTTCGCCCTAAAACTTGTTTGCCCTTGACGCCGTTCGCCCTAATTCCTGTTCGCCCAGAGTTTGATCGCCCTAAACTTGTTCGCACAGGGTCCGTTTGCCTTATTTATATTGCAGAAAGTTGAATAATGAACCAATGGATTTTTTAAATAAAATTGGTACATAAATTGCACATGGGAGACAACAGACGTATGCATGTGGTCACACTATAAATACCTGTACTATCAAAGACCCAGCAGACCAACAGAAATTAACGTCTCAGTCCTTTAATTGTTTTCAAAACATAACGCAGATTGTATGATGCGCTCTAGTATAGTGTATATAGCAGCTCTTACCAATAGAAACAGATGTGTTCATTACAGAACAGTCAAACACATTTCCAAATTCACATGTTTTCACTCCAGTTGCAAAGAAAACAGTTAAATATTTTTCTTTGATTCTCCTCTTCAACGGGTCTACTTTCGTTTTAGGTTCGTTTTCGTTTTAGTTCTTTTACGATCCCGACTTTAATTAGAACTTATTAAAAATAAGTTCATTAAAATGTGGTAAACTTTAATCCTAAAAATTACTACTAATTTTAAAAAAAGAAAACAGAGAAGTTTGCCTTTCCATCATTTATCACATTTAAAGGATACTTATTAATGTCAAATTTAACTTGCATTCTCTGTTAGGATAATGAGTGTGGCACAGATAATCACAGATTTCCTCCAAACTTTGAATAACATAAAGACTACTTAAAAAAAATATGCATAAACTTTTTTTGAAAAATCTGGGATGTGATGAATGAATGGTTAAATTACCATAATAACAGGTCGAAAAGTTTAAAGTCATATATGGTGTATTTTTTGACAAGTTCAGGTAACCAAAATTAAAAAGATCTATTTTTTTTTATTACATTTAATTATATAAAAATAGGACTTTCCTGTAAATTACACAATTTAAATCAACCGTGTTTCAAAGATATTAAAAATTTAAAACAATAACTGATTTATTTACTGACTCCACATCTAAATAATTTAATTTTGTTTGTATTCTAGCCGCTGATTGGTTAATATCCAAAAAGGAACACAAATTATTTCTGTATAACCTGGTTTGGTATGGGGACACCCCCCCCCCCTCCCCTTACACCCAGTGAATCATCTGTATCCATACAATCCTCTAGCTCATTTCCAGTCCTCGGGATTCATGGAAAATTCCAGATTTAATAAATGTACCAAACAATAATTTGATCTTACCACATGTAAACAAACAACAAGGCTGCTAGGCCTATGTATCAATTTTTACCTCCCCTCGCTTCCCATCACTTCCACACCGGTACTTCCGTTACTACGGTTGTATTATTGAGCGGCAAATTTGAACTAATAAAAAGCAATGAAATTTTAAACCCATAGTTATTTAATGATTTTAAAATTAAATTATAAGGAATGACTCTAATTCTTGGCCAAATTATTCGAGTATTACCTGGTTTGGGTCAGTTTACACTGTTTTATAATCCGCTTCGCAGATTTCTATGGTTAAATTGACTTTAAATTTGTCTGTTATTTTAGGAATGCATGACTCTAATTCTTGGCCACTTTATAATCCGCGAAGCGGATTATAAAACAGCGTAAACTGACCCAAACCAGGTAATACTTGAATAATTTGGCCAAGAATTAGAGTCATTCCTAAAATAACAGACAAATTTAAAGTCAATTTAACCATAGAAACGTGAGGTTATTCCCCATACCAAACCATTCTCACAATTTGCTCATGAGAAGCTCACGTGAGGACTAACCAGATTTCCTCACGTGAGTTGCTCATGTGAGTCTCATGTGCAATTTAACATGCAAATTAGGTGAAATGCTCACATGAGCAAAATTCTGCACATGAGCATTTTTTGCTCATGTGAGGAATCATTTTGCTCACCTAAGATAATGCTCACATGAGGCTCATTAGTCTCATGTGCAACAATTGCTCACTTGAACAAACAACAATAGAATAAAATTTAGATTACAAATATAATATATAAATGTATATTTAAGATATGATGCGTCAATAATATTGAACATTTTAAATATTCTTGAGAAACATGTAAATACATGCATAAATGTTCAGTGAACTTCATTTTTCAATCTTGAAATGAAATAAAAATTAAATTAAATGAACAACTAGTATATACTACATTAAACACATTTCTCTGTATTAATCTTAATTATACAGTCATGTATAATTATGTACAATACACATTATTGTATAAATTATCAAAAAGTTAGATTTCCAGTAGATTTACACTAGAACATCCAATGTAAATGTCCAGTCAACAGTTTTGGACTGCACTAGATGGATTAAAGTTGTCTCTGATATGTCAGGCTATGTAAATTTTTTTCCAATTCCTGAATGCGTGGCAATCATACTTGGGTGTGAAATAAATATTCCAGCAGTCATAAGAATCATAATCATTTCATTAAGTTCCTTTTCCTTGCATTTCCTTTAAATGAGTGCCAACTTCATAAGTCCATCTATATGTAAGGGACCGGGGTTAATCTGCAGATCCCTTGATCAGCAACATTTATCTGCAAAAATTTGAATTTATAGTTTATATTTTCCATGGTTCAGTTGGTCATGAAAGGCCAGTCAATAAAAAATCATATGCATCAATATTAAGCAACTTATCTTATTATAGATAAATTATAGATTACTGCACTGAGCTGTTATGTACACTTTGACCTAATCTAACTTACCATATTTATAGTTCTTAAAAGAATCTATAGAGAATTTGCAATACATAAAGGATTTTATGTTTGATCCTATATTCAGAACTATATAAACATTAATTACATTATGTAATGATGTAAATTCATGTTCATATATTAAACTGTAATTACTGATAACATACTGCATTTCTATCTAAATTAAGTATTAATTAATTATTAACACACAAACATATTATGTTTTATAATTAGTAATCTGATATGAGAGGGGGATTATAAAGCCCTTGCACTTACCCTTTTCTCAGCATACTAAATAGTACCAGCAAATCTTTGAAATTTCCTATATATATATATCACAGTTCTTTTTCATTGTGGCTGCATGGTCATTCGTTAAATATTTCCTCATCTCATGGACATAATTAAGATACATTTGCAACTTTTAAAATGTTGACATCCAGTTCAGTATGGTGATGACATGTATTTCCCAAAGCATATTTCACTTCTTTACTGTATAAATCTACCGGTATATATACTTTCATGTCCCTCACAAACATTTTGGATTGAAATTTTGAACTTGTCTGAAAGTGCGCACAAATCCTGACTGGCTCCCCTCATTGGATACTGCCCTAGTTTTAAGCAAATGTGGGGGACACAACAGGTTGTTTAGGTAGAGGAAAGCATTTGCAAATTGATGGGATGAAGATTAGAAACTCAAAAAATTAAGAAATTCCTGCATGGCCCCCAATTATTTGTGATGCTATCATCAGGAAGCATTAACGGTTAACACATGGGCAATTGTAATGAAGGCTTGTTAAAAGCTTGGACCACATAGAGTGACAAAGTATTGTATTTCCTCACGTGAGCATTTGAAATGCTCACATGAAAAATTTAGACTTGTATTTCTTTGGTTTTGGTTCTACCTGTAATACTGAATTTTGACTATGCCCAATTTCCTAACCTCTTGCTCACGTGAGAAAACTGAACTTAGAAAAATTACTACCAATGCTATATCTTTATATAAGGCTGTTCATACATGAGCAAATGTCAATAGACTTTTGCTCATGAGCATCCAAGTGAGCATAATTTTGCACATGTGCATTTTGGTTCGTATTTTCCTCCCTAACAGAGACTAACAATCTGCACATGAGCAAAATCCAATTCTACCTAATTTGCATACATTTCTAACTAGATTCTCACGTGAGTCTCATGAGCTGCTCATGAGCATGTGTTAGAATGTTTGGTACGGGTCAAGCTCAAAATTGATGAAAATTTTAATTTGAACATAAATAACATATATCATGTATATTTACATTCAATATTGTATTATTATTTTTCAAGCTCAGATACGCCATAATTATATTTAGCTTTAAATAATTCTAATTTTCAAATTTTACTGCATATTCTTGCAACAAAATGTTATTACTATACTTTGAAAACTCTGAATAGACCCCCATCACCTGCTCATGTTCATCATCCCTTGGGGGTGTAATTTGACAATTTTAACTTGACACAATTTATAAAAGAATACTAGTACACATTTTTTCTTCTTTTTTTTTTTACTTTTGTGCAGAAACTTCATAATCACAAGTACACAATAATGTCACCCAGCTCTATTTCTCAGTACATAATATTTACTTGTGATTACTTTCTTTGTCTTTTTTGTGTTTTTTATTTTTATGTTTCTTGTGTTTTGATTGTTTCTTCTCTGATATTTTTTCCTCTTGACTTGATTTTGTGCTAGATAATTCAGAGTTATTCCCCTTTAGCACTTCAAAACATCCTGAGATGGGTTCACTGTCTCTTGCAGATGCACTTCCCTCTGGTGAATTAACGTCTCCAGAATTACCTTTGCTATTAACTACAGAATTCTTCCTTTTCTGTTTGGTTTTCCTTTCATTTTCCTTGAAACCTTTTCTCTTATGTTTTGACTTTTTCTTTCTTGTGGATGACAGTGAATGATTTCTTGTTTTGGATTTTTTCTCACATTCTGAAAAATCACTTCCTGAGAACTCATTGCTGTAACTCCAAGACCTTTTATTTGTGATTTTGGATGCTTTTTCCAGTTTTTCACTTTTACTTGAAGGACCCTCTTGTTCCTCCATCCTTGCCACATTGTGAAGACCTCTACCTTCCTCAGAATGATAAGACCTTGTATATTTTTCCTGCATACACTCTTCCATTTTTTCATAGTAATTCATGTGTTTCTTGTAGTTCTGAATATATTCCATGTAATCCTCATGATAAATGTCCTCATCTTCCCCCAGTGATCCTCC